AAATACAGCAGGGTACAAAATCAATACAAAAATCAATAGCATTTCTATACATCAATAATGAACTTACCAAGAAAGAAATTAGAAAACAATGCCATTCACATTAATGTCTAGAAAAAGGAAATACTTGGAAATTAACTTAACCAAGGAAATGAAAAACCTCTACAAAGAAACTAGAGTATTCTTTTTAAAAAAAGGAAGGGGAGAGAGAGAGATCAAAAAGGACATCCGAAAATAGAAAGATACCCCCTATTTCTAGATAAGCAGAACCAATATTGTCAAAATGGCCATATTTCCAAAACTGACATATAGATTTAATGCAATCTAACCAAAAGTATTTCTTATAGAGCTAGAGAAAACAATCCTATAATTTACATGGAACACAAAGAGACCAGAATAGCAAAAGTAATCTTGGGCAACAAAAACAAAAAAGGATGCATCATAATACCAGATTTCAAGTTATATTACAAAGCTAGTTATAAAAACACTGTGGTATTGGCACAGAACAGACATGTGGATCAATGGAACAGAAAAGCGGATACAGAAACAACCCCAATATATTCCGCCATCTGATCTTTGACAAAGGAGCCATAAACACACTGAAGGAAAGATGAGGTCTCTTTAGCAAATGGTGCTAGAAAAATCGTCTATCCACATATAGAAAACTGAAGATAGACCCATTATCTCTAATGATGTACTAAATCGAAATGGATCAAAGATCTAAATATTAAAGTTGAAGCACATACTCTGCTGCAAGATAAAATAGGTAAAACTCTTGAAGACATAGACATAGGCAAGAACTTTCTGTACAGAACCCCAAAAAGTACATCACAAAAAATAACATCAAAAGAATTAACAAATGGGAATCATATCAAGTTAAAAAGCTTCTACACAGCAAAGGAAACAACCAACAGAATGAAGAAGAAATGTACAGAATGAGGAAAAATAGTTGCCAGCTATTCCTCAGACAGAGGATTAATATCTAAGAATATAAAAAGAACTAAAAAACAGTCAAACTCCCTAAAATAAAAGACCCAATCAAAAATAGGCAACTAAAATGAGTAGACATTTCTGAAAAGAAGTATAAACTGCCAATAAATACATGCAAAAAAAAAAGGGCTCAACATTTCTGGCTATTAAAAAAATGCAAACTAACCAACATTGAGATTTTGTATTACTCCACAAAGAATGGCTATCATCAAGAAATCAGATTATAACAAATCCTGGCAAGGCTAAGAGAGAAAAAGAAGCTTTCTACATTGTTGGTGGGAATGTAAACTAGTATGACCACTATGGATATCAGAAAGAAATTCCTCAAAAACTAAAACTAAAAATTCCATTTGACCCAGCTATTCCTTCTAAGTATTTTCCTTAAGATATCACATTACAGTGACACATGCATACCCATAGAAGCCCAGCTCGTAAGAGATAATCTTGGAAGCAGCCTATATGTCCATTAACAGATGAATGGATAAAGACAATGTGGTATTCATACACCATGGAGTACTATTCTACCATAAAGAAGGATAAACCTGAGTCATTTGTAAGAAAACAGATATACCTTGAGATTATAACATTAAGTGAAATGAATCAGACACATAAACTTCACTATCTCAAGGTTTCCCTTATATGAGAAACCCAACGTATGAATAAAAGAGCACAATAAAAGATAATAGGAAACAGAGATAATCTTTAGCAAATGGGAAGAGGAGCAGGAAGGAAAGGGAAGAGGACTTAAAAAGAATGTTACATTAGGTGTACCAACTCCCCATGATGAATAGTCATTGCATTCTCTAAACATCTACTAATAAAGAAAAGAATATCTGTGGTAACCTCTGTCCTTTGAAGATGAATTTGAGGGTGGATTTTAAAAAATATTTTGCTATATTATTTTAGAGCCTATGTTTTAAGAAAAAGAATTAACAATAGATGGCTAAATCAAGAAACTCCTAATTTCAATAAATTAGCAAATACATTTTCTACATGTTGCAATTTTTAAAGACATTATATTCATTTTTATTTATTCAATTTAAAAAAAAATAATACTACCCAATATTTAACTGGGTAAAATGAAGTGTCTTTAAGAATCAATCACTTGGGGGCTGGGATTTAGCTCAGCAGCATAAGCACCTGCCTTGCAAGCAGGTGGTTGTGAGTTCGATCCCCAGTACCGATAAAAAGGAAAAAGACCAAAAAAAAAAAAAAAAAAAAAAAAAAAAGAATCAATCACTTGAGTTACTGAGTATCTCTAGGTGAAACATCAGAGACCTACTGCCCTGATACTCCCCTTCACTTTAGCAAAAAGGAAAAATAAATAAAGGGAGAAGTAGTGACAACAATGTTAACTGGCAAGATATATTTGTTATATAATGATTCAAAGTGCCAAAGGACCGGAGACTCAATACAATTTTCTTTAATGCTTTAGCTCTATTAAGAAGATTAGATGGCTATTTAGTATTTAGCCAGACCTATTTGGAAATACAAACTGTTGGATTAAAAAAGAAATTCTATCTGGAGCAGTGCCCAAAGATTTAACCTGATGATTTAACTTTAAAAGAATCTTCTTGAAGTTTCTGATCTGAGGGAAAAAAAAAAGGCTTAATAGGCACCTCTACCCAGAGTTCTAGTATAATTTGGAAAGATATCCTACATATATTACATTGATGGCACACTGTAAGAAAAAATTCTTACAAACAATGCAGTGTGATTTTCTCTAAAAGGCAGCCTATCAGAGCTGGGATTTACCACTTAACACCTGTGTGGCTTTAAGCAAGTTATTCAACTATCTGAGCTCTACTCCTTCATCTACAAAATGGGATAGACACCATCTATCTTAATTCTCATGATGAGAATTGTGATCTACCTTCAATGGACTGTAATTCAATCTCAATATGGAAAGTGAATCAGCTTCACAATATCACCAGTTTAGAACACTTCTGGCAGAGCAGCTTACAGAGAAAAAGTCAACACTTCTGAGGCATCTTTTTTCACCCTCACACTTGTATTTTTCTTTTACTAAGCTAAAATTAGCTTTCCAGTTACTTCAACTCCATCAACCCTACTCTAGTGTAAATCTTAAGCAAGGGTAATTGTTTTCACTGGACTTTATGCTCCATAAGGGCTGAGGTCATCATTTCTGTTTAGTACCAAAGCCTTACCTAGACACACAGTAGGCTGAATGACATGTTCAGTGCAGTATTTACTGACTGACAGGTGAGATGCCCTCTAATATGAAAAGCAAGATAAATAACATTTTTGGAGGTTGCTGTTTAATACTTAAGATTTGTAAGTTGATACAGCAATCAAACCATGCTACATGTTCTCCAAAATTCCATCTGACATAAGTTGAAAAGCAGTTTTGAATAAATGGTGATGTTACAGATTTATTCGAAGTAACAAACTTCTCAGTGGCTTCCTAACTCATAAAATCTTTCAGTTCCAAGTCTTCATGAAAAACAAAAACTCAACATGATATGCAACCTTACTGCCACTGACTATTTTGAAAACAACCTCCAAATAATAATAATCTAGTCAAATTTTATTACTTGAAAGCAATTCAGAAAACATCAGAATTGAGATTGGGATAGATTACCAAAATCTGTAACAACTTTTTCTCCTGACTTTCTTAGTCATACACTGCTATAAATAAACATCTCACTGCTTAAACACAAGAATTTGTAACTTAGTTACTTTACATTCTAGAGCTTAAAAGTAGGTTTCAAAACGTACTACATCACGGAACCATAAAGCAAACCCAAGTTCATCATCCTCTGGAAATCGGTAGGAATATTTCATTGCATTGTTTCCTCTGCCTTTCACAAATTTTAAACTGTCACTCTGCTAAAGAAAACATAATTAGTAAAGTACATCTGGCACACAAAAAATTGATAATGCATTCCAAATTCTCAATATCTCTGGATTATCTTGAGATTGTGGGAGAAAACTAGTGATTGAGAAACAGTTAATGTCCATGAAAGGGCGTTGGGTAAGGCTAATACAAGATAGATATCAGCTCATAATAAAGGATAACACCCATAAGACTCAAACATTCTGAGCTACACAAAATTAACAGAGGACGAGAAATTTAAAAGAATCATATATAACCCCGTCTATTCTAATAGGAGTTCCAAGACTAAGGAAGATGAAGCTTCTAGCCCTACAATGCATCCTTGTCTATTTCTTCTATGATAGCAACAGAAAACCCATACATTAAAAAATAAATTTTTTTAAAGTGAAGCCATCGGATGAAGGAGGGCTTTAAAATATTAAAAATATTACTTGCCACTAAGTTAATATCTGCAGAGTGATTTCAAGTACTGGGTGCGAAACTTAAGGTCATAGAGAGCAGATACTTGATGGTCAAAGTCTCTTCCCTATGCTACAGAAACTACCGTGAAAGACAGATGACAACTTAAAAGATACAGAAAAGTACACCAAGTGCAGGGTCCCAACGCCTCGCCAATTCGCGAAGAAGTACTTCTTTGCAATGATTACTACCTCTGCCATCAGTTGCCACAGTGTCAAAATAAAAGGGGCTTGCTAGGCAGAACAGCACAGCCCGGGGCTATGCGCACATCCTTCGCACCGCACCGTAACGCATCCGGCAACAATTTCATACTGTGGCCCGGGTGATGCTGCAGTCGCCACACGGCTGCTACTCTGAATGCGGCAACCACGCGGGACTAGCTTAACGGTCCCAGAAGTGACTCCGCAGACCAAGGCGAGGGCCTCCCTTCCATTATCCACCAGTTCCACCCAGGTAACCACCTCCGTGCCCTGGATCACACGCAAGGGTTTCCATCAGCGCCTCTGAGAAGCAAAGAAAGCATCCACTGTTTGTCTCTTTACCGAATGCCCGTCCAAGTTAGAGAGCTGGAGTTGGGGATATAAATAAGCCTTTGCTCTTCCCACTCCAGGCCGGCGGCAGGGCCACCCAGGCCCGGGTTACCAGAAGCTGAACCCCCGCCCCTGTGGATCCCCTCTATTGCCCGGCTCCCTCTCACCTGATCTTATAATTGGGCAGGGTGTGCCTGCGCTTGATGACTTTCTTGAGCTGGTTGACAATGATGGAGGTGAGCTGGGGCATGGGCCGCCCTTCAAACTGGGAGCGTACCTCGAAGTCTATCAGCGGGTCCTCCACGAAGGAAAAGAACCAGTGAGTGAAGGGCACGCGGGTGAAGACGAAGCGCAGCCGCCCCACCACTCGGGACAGTTTGACGAACAGGTAGGCGGACTTGCCGAAGACTAGGTCCACATCAATGGCCAGGTGGAAGCCCCCGTTGTACTCCACCTCGGCCTCGAAGGCCAGTTCCTCTGGGCAGGTGGTGGGCAGGGTCTCCCCCTCGGGACCATCGGGCTCCCCGGTGGCCGAGGCCACCACAGGCCGGACGAGACGTATGGTCTTGATGAAGGGCACCGTGTCGCCCAGGAACACATCCCGCAGGCTCAGCCCCTCCAGCAGGCGCCCGGCCGTCTTGGTCTGCAGCAGCTCCTCGAACTCCACCTTGATCTTCTTGGTGACCCAGCGGCGGGTCAGCGCAGTGTCCCGCAGCTCCCGGAACAGGAACAGAATGGTGGCGTTGAGGAAGTAGCAGGTCTCCCGCGTCGGCAAGGCGGGAGTCTCGGGGGCCGAGGTTGGGCTCCCGGAGCCCTCCGCCGACCCACTGGCGGGCTCTTCAGCCCCGCCGCCGCCATAGAGGTATTCCCTGAGGTGCAGGCCGGGCACCGGCTTGATGTACCGGAAGCCATCGCCCGCGCGCGCTGCCTCGTCCGGCGGCGGCTCGGGCTGCCTGCGGTACAGCAGCAGGAACTGGGTGAGGAGCGTGAGGAAGGAACCCAGCACGGCCGACGCCAGGATCATGAACAGCAGCCCCATCCCGCCACTGCCGCCGCCCGGGCCGCCGGGGCCCCCGCGCCCACAGCTCCGCTTTCTTTATGCCGCCGCCCCCGCTGCCTCCATCTTGAGGACATCGGGCGGTGGGGTCAGGGCGACTGGCTGGCTGGGCCTCGTACGCCGGCTCGGGTGGCTCGCCGCCTGGCCTGAGCCTGCAGCGGCCCGCGCCGCCTCAGACGCTCCCGGGGGCAACCTGTGTGGCGGCTGCAGGAGCGGAGGGGGCGGGAACGGCGCCTCCTCCAGGCCTCCTCTTATTGGGCGAGCGGCGCAGACGTCAGTGCGTGCTCGCTCCCGGCAGCGTCGCCCGGCAGCCGGCGTTCGCGGTGGGACTCAGGCCCTGCTTACCCACCTTGGGCGTCCTGCCAGCCCCGCCCCCTTTCCCAGGTTTCATCCCAAGCCGCGCGCGCTGGGGTCCACAAGGCTGTCACTTCTGACGGCGCGGTGCGGACCCGGGAGGATGACCGAGGGCAGGGATTGGAGCGTTGGCGGTCCGGCCCGGACGGCTTGTCGCAGTCCTCCCGTTATCTCCGGACGCACCCATCCCCCTGCGTTGGCCGTGGTCCCCGCCGTTACCTCTGCAGCAGCCTCTTTCTTCCTGCAGTGTGGTGCTTCCTCTTGGCCTCCATGAGAGCTGGGCTGGCGGCCGCGGGCTGATCCTGCGCAGAGGACCTGAGCAGGCTGTTGGGACATTTGCCAAGCTACCAGAGCGGTCTGACTGCCTCAGATGCGCCATCGCCACCTCCGGGTCCCACCAGTGGACGTTGTGCGTCCGCGGAGGGTGGCCCTGGGAAGGTGGAAGGGAAGGATAAGTGTGTACAGTGTGAACTAACTTCTCTACCAAAGTAGATATTCAAAATGTAGATGAGAAGGAAGTTTAAATGAGTTGGGAGTGTGCCAGGTGATTAGAATTCACTGTCAAGTTTTTGGTAAGCTTGTGTGTATTATTAGCACATTTAATCCATCTCTGCAGCAGTTACTCTGAGCTCCCACTCATTTTACAGGTGTGAACTTGGGCGCTGAGAGAATCATAGGAAATTGCAAGGGGTTGCCTAGTGGAGCCTAGATTTAATACCTAAACTCCTGGTCACCACTCTGTACGCCAACACTGCTAAGACTATAGAGAGAGTTAGAGGGAGTATTAGTCATTTCATGGCTGGGACAATGAATCTGACATACACAAGTTAAAGGAGAAAGCGTTTATTCTGGCTCAGCTTCATAGGTTTCAGTGGTGTGATAGAGGAAAGCCACTGAACTCATCACAGTTGGAAGAGAGCAGGAGGTGAAGGGGCAGGGACCAGACAAAGTCCCCAGGATAGCACCCCCCTGACCGTCCCAGGTGCTGAAGCCAATGAAGTTGATAATCAAGATCAACCATCCCAGGTATCAAGGAAGAAGGAGAGGTGGTAGTTTGTGCAGAGTAACACCTTGACCAAAGCCATGGAGCTAAGGAAGCCAAGCTGCCTAGCAACAATGCCTTTTCTTACACCCTCTACTTAGTTGTTGCATCATAAATGCTTGTGTTTCTCCACCCACATGGACACTGCAACACATCTGGTTCTACAGAGGTCAAATATTCCATACTAATAGGCTGATTCTGCCTTGCCCTGAGACCCCAGGATGAGGCTCCTCTCTAGCTCTTAAAAATCTTTAAGTGAAGGATTCTCTTGACTTTGCATTATAGCAGAACAAAATCAGAGTGCTGACCTAGCTGAGGCAGGTACAGAGCTTTGGAACCAATGTATGATTTCATGCTCAGGGCTAAGATCAGAATGGTTCTATTACCAGGAAGCCATAATACAGACATTAGCTGTGGAACCAGGCTCTAACCCTTGCCGAGATTTCTAGAGGCTTCAGGCTACTTCTGTTCTAGTGCTCACTCTTAACTCCTGGGCTGTGCTCTCACTTTGTTGTTTCAAAGCAAATGGGAAATGTAGATCCTTTTTCAATTTCCACCAGAAACCTTATTCATAATGCTCAGATACCATTGTACTAAATGTTTCAGAAGACTGAAATGGGGTAGGACAGAGGAGCTCATCACATTAGAGATTAAAATCTCAAATTGTCGTTTGACCCATCGTGGATCTAGAATACCTTTCACCCACTTGTGGTTCATGTCTTCCTGGGAATGAGTGCTCAATCTCATACCACCTTGCACACTTTTCCCTGGCCCTTCCACCTCTTCCTTACTCTTCCAGATTCTTCTGGGGACCCCAAATCTTCTCAATCTATTACTTAGTCATTCAGTTCCCTAGCAAAACTTGTCCCCTGAGGGCACAAGTGTTCAACTATGTCACTTGTCTGGGCCACACTGAGTGAAGAGGAATTGTCTTGGGCTGTATATAAAATATATTAAAAAATTAGAATGAAAAAGAAAATATGTAATACACAGTAGTGTATATAAATGACAACATTTATTTTTAAGTATTTTCTAACATTACAAAAAAGAGCAACCTAAAGATAAAAGTAGTGGTGTGTTTGACTTTGTTTTTATGAAAATAATGCATCAGTGTCTGGTTTGATGGAAGTGGTTGTAGTTCTTGAGTTCTCAAGGTGTTGTCAGAAATAGTTGATTTTCTTTACTCTTCATGTGCTTCTGTCTTAAAAATAGTTGTTCACCATTGTATATGTACTGCCAAACGAGATGACATGAATAAGCTATGATTGTGAAAAAAGGGATATTTTTCCCAAGGAAGACTGGTTTTAAAAAGTCTATAGACAGATGTGATCGAAGTTTTTGTTTGAGTTCATTATCTGAGTGCAACTTTATACATTCCAAAAATTAATTAATAAGCTTTTATTTTCATGGCATTAATAATGTTGTATGTAGATTAATAATGTCGTATATGTAATTATAACATCACAAGTAAAAACTATTTGACACAATTTCTAGACCATAGTTGCTCAAAAGCTTTTAACTTTATTACTTATAAAATTACATAAGCCTATTTTAATAGTTAAAGAAAACTTAATAACAATAAACACTTGTCTTTTCAGGCATGTAGCTGTATAAACAGGTTGCTATACTGTAGTGTGATCGGTACTGGCTGTATTTTACTAAGTTGCACAAGTCCATGTAACACCCGATGTGTGCAGGTTTTGAGTTGACTGTGTATCATGGGTGCAGGAGATGGAGTTAGCAGAAAGAAAAATGTTACATAGAAGAAAAATGTATTTTCTTGTATTAAAAAACAAACACTAACAGGTGGAGGATTTAGCTCAGCAGCATAAGCACCTGCTTGGCAAGCACAAGGTCATGAATTTGATCCCTAGTACCAAAAACAAACAAAAAACACTAACAGCAACACAGAGAATTAATGTGTCAGGCACAATAACACCTTATGATTTTAAAATATTTCAATATTTTAACAATACTTGAAAATTAAAATGCATGGGTTTTTATAAAGTCAAATGAATTTGATACTTCAATGCTCACAGCAATGTTGGTGTAACAAGCACTTTTTAAATGAAATGATGTGGTTAATAGAAGCTTTGTGTTTTGTTGTTGTTTTGGGGACGTGGGGATTGGAACCAGGGATTTCACCCTTTCAACTCATCCCTTTTTAATTCATTTTGAGACAAGGTCTCAATAAGTCACTAAGTTGCCCAGGCTGGTCTCAAACTTGCTATCCTCTTGCTTCAGCTTAGTGTTTTTGATACCATTCTTTAGAAGAATACAAATTTAGCCCCACCTTTCTTTTTAAATATCTATGCTGGTTCATAGGAACTCAAAAGTCTGAGAACTGCTACAGTTGACTGAAAATCTATGATTCTATATATGTTTTTGATGGAAAGAGTTGTACTTCTTTTAATGTATTTTAAATGACTTCATTAAAATAAGCTGCCGCAACAGCCTACATGGGCAGGATCTGCTTCAAAGGTAAAGAGAACTGAATACTGAAAGATGAGTTTTATGTAAAACTCACTATCTCAGCTAAAAAGAGACATGGACCTCTGATGTTGTCAGACGTGGCATCCTTCCTGGTGACCGCCAAATAGGAGGAGAAAACCAAAGCATGTGAGTTTGTGAGTACATGAAAGCCAATTTGATTTAAAAAGAAAAAAAAAAAAAAACCTGGCAAGTATAGCAAAATAGGGTGAAACTTAGAGAAGTTCAGAATATTTATTAAAAATGAACTTCAGATCATTTTATGAGCTGTGATGGTATAAACTATTTTTGAGCATATAAATGTGCCGGGCTCCTGGAGTGCCAAATAAACAAGACACAGTCCCTGCCCTCAGTGGTGCCAGGCAGGTGGAAGCAGATGCACATCACTGGAACTGATGCTTTATTCTAATGATAAATAATCAGTGATTGTCATAAATAATCCCTACTCTAACAGAGTCAGAAGAGTCTGGTTCAGGGTTAGGACAGTTGGCTGCTAGGAACAGAAACTGCCTCAGGGTAACTTAACTGAAATTGGATTCATGTTAAGGTACTGGTATACCTGCAGGACTCAGCTGCAAGATGTTCAGTTGGGGTTTCCATGGAAACCCTGGAGCAAGAAGCGCCCCTCCCATCCTTGCCCAGTATCTGATTTTTTTTTTTTTTTTTAAAGACAGGGTCTCATGTAGTTCAGGCTAGCCTTGAACATGCTATGTAGCATAGGCTGATCTTGAACTCGAAGCAATCCTGCCTCTGCCTCCCAATATGTCTCCTGGGAATATAGGCATGCACCACTGCGCCCCGGCCACCCAGTAGCCTATTTTATCTCTACCTCTGACTGCAGGCCTATGCCATGATACTCTATAAGGCCCTTGTTCCTACTTTTCCAATGGCCTCATGCAGACAGTTTCGAAGGCATCAGCTCTACACCAAAATTGAGAGGACTCTATGTCTCTAATAGTTTCTGCTAGTTCAATTTCAGGTGCTGGGAGAGAATCTCCAGGTGGTCACAATAACGCATTTGTTTATACCCAGGAATTTACTGCTTCTGAGTTGCTAATCTAAGGCAAGACAACTTCTCTATAGACAAGGATAGAGAAACCTGAAGGGAAGTTTTAGTTTGACGGAGAACAAGAGATGGCTAAGGTAGGTAGGGCAGGAGGTTTTGTGGGGTAGATGAAAATTTGCTCTAACCATTAATGATTAGATATAGAAACAGAATAAAGCAAAATTTCAGAAGTTGGAAATCCAACAGAATAGGACAGAGGTCATCCGTGATACGAATAGGATTAGTTCAGGAAGGAGGGAAGAAGGATAAGCCAGCAAAGTGGACTTGAGCTAAATTGAAGGGATG